ATAACAGGCAGATTCTTTCAGTTGTGGTCTGCCATTCTACTCGACGTACTGGCTTCTTATCGTTTTGTAAATTAAACCGTTTTTTATCGTTTCAGTAAAACTTTGTGTAGAATGAACTGCTGCTAAACACGATCGCGCGATTCAGACAAATGAAGTAAAATATCGAACGGTAGAAGAGAGGGTAACTTCAGCAAAAGCTAGAATGGAGAAGTGGCGCTTAAGTTGATGCAGATGCCTGTGCCTTTATGCAGTTGTGTTACTAGTTTTAGAAAGCAGTTTCAAGATACAGTAATATTTTATCAGATCGTAAATACATCTTCTGAATGTCGGTCAACAGGGGTTCGATTTAAAACCATTTCTCCCTCTAAAGAGCTGCTTCACTGGGCCAGTATTGCTATTTCTGGCCAGCATTCTCATCAGGAAAAAGAAAAAAACTTGATCGTAAATTTTCTATTCGCGAAGCAGTATTCGGGCAGATCGTTTTGTTTTTTATACCACCCTTTTCATTATCCTCTTTGAAGAGCCTGATCTATCCTAATTTCTTTATGCATTTCACAAATTCTTTAACCAGAAGGAATCTTTGATATCAGGTTCAGTATCGATCTCAGTACGAGTACTGTATGTATGTAAAGAACATCGCTTCGTGAAACAATCTACATATACAAAATGATGATGCGTACCAAATTTTGGACCAAAGCAACCAAATCAGTTCAGCTTGGCCAGTAGATCAGTGCTTCAAAATGCTACGATCAGTCGTTAGTTTGATGCTTAATAAAAGTTTCAAAGAAACATCATCGTCACGTCACCATTTTTGATGCTCTTAAATTCATTACGGTAAAAATCTATTGACTTCAGGCGTTTCTTAAGCATATACGTGACGTAGATCAGCACGGAATCATACCCATGAAGTTGAGGGCCGAAAATATTACTCGGCAGCTGAAGCGAGTAAGTTGACCACCGGACTGTTTTCGCGACGCATGGTTAGGAAACCGAGACGTGGAAGGAAAGAGGGAAGGGTTTTGCGGACAGTTGACTCGTTTCGTTTCCAACACGACTGAATAATTTCTAAAAGCTGAACATATCAATACAATAAAGCGGTATAAATTACATAAATTTCAATGACTTGTATGTCACTCAGCCGCAGAATCACATTTTTCGTCACGGGTTGCTGACTGTCGCCTAACTTTGACTCATATCGAATGACGAAGAGTACTCACAGCATGGCGTTTGATGTTTTCGTGCCAATATATGAACGAACTCTGATTAATAGCGGTTACCTGATGCAGTCCCTATTAATTATCGATTCGCTGAAGCCATGCCCTTCACTAACCGCGTTCAATACATTACCGGGGAATTCAGTATGACATTCTCGGACTACGGACAAATGTTCATTAACTCTGATGTTACGATGTCTATAAGTCTTAGCGATATAAATTTTGTCATCGTAGAAATATGTTGTCGTAGAAGCTACTGTGGATTTTTACGAAAAGAAGAATCCCGTATTATGTCATTTTTGGTAGTATATAGACCCTTATTTAGTTTTCGTTAAGTATTTTTGACTTCTCCTGAAACTTGTCTGCGGTGAAATGGATATTGCGAGTGTTTTCTGATAGTTTTACGGAGGTTTAGTCTGGGTGCAGCCATTTACTCTTTGACAGTGTCAGCAAGTAAGAGTTTTGTTAAAACTTTTTGCGAAGTTGGTTAATTTCTTCATTCAGGCGTTTTGCAGTGCGCTTTGCACGTTGTCGCCGCGCAATGAAGTATGTTCTT